CGTCCCATGATGCCGCCTGGGGCAGGTGATCGCGGTCAGGCGAAATACTTCCCATGGGAGATACCAGGGCGTGGCCACGTCCGACGGCAACGCCAGTGACGCAACTTCAGACTGCGTTCCCGCCCAGACTGGTCCTCGGAGTGCGCGCCGCTTGCCTCGGGCAGGGCCTCCAACCCGCGCCGCCGCGCCGAGCTGCCGAGCCCCGGCCGAGCAGCGCGCGCGCGCGAGCGCCGCCGGCCGCGGAGCAGCGCGCCTCGGCGAGCGCCGCCGGCCGCGGGCTGTGCCCGCGGCGCGCGCGCGGACCGCGGCGATGCCGCCGCTGCCGCTCGGCGCCCCCGCCGCGGCGGGGCGCCGGGCGGGCCTGGTGCTGAGCGCCCTGGCCGTGCGGAGCGCCGCGCTCGCGACTGGCGGCGGCGGCGGCGGCGACGGCGACGGCGACGACGATGACGACATCGATCGAGGTTCGAGGATCGAGACTTCTGCATGTGCGCCTCTCCATGAGGAGCCGGCCTGTGTGCGCGTTCTGCATGTTAGCTCCGGCGTCCTGTGCGGGGGCCGGGGCCCCCGAGATCGGTGGCCTGTCGTGGCCCCTCAGCGCGGCCCCCCAGCGTGGCCAGGTGAAGTGGTTTAGGGCCCTCTGCCTCAACGGAGCATGGTTGTTTGCCCCGGAGGCCTCCATGTAGCCCCCGGAGGTCTACGCCTCCCAGAGGTCGCTTGGTGCAGCTGGGGTCGCAGGATCGCCCCGCATCGCCGGGGCAGATACATCGCCGATGCGTCGCGAGGCATCGCTGACGCACCGGCGATGCATCGGCGATGCGGCGCGATGCTTCGGCCCCAGCTGCTCGGAGCCCATTTGCGAGGCCTTCGCTCGAGGCCTCGGAGGCACCCCTCCGCAGGAGGCCCTCGGGGGAGACCTCGGGAGAGGCCGCGTGCGCGCACTGCGCCGGGATCGCCTGCGGGGTCATGGCGAGGGCAGCCGCGCCTTCCCCCTGCCGCCCCGCACCCCCCTCGCGGGCGGGGCCGCAGGCTTCCGGCCTGCGAGCGTGCCCCGTAGCCGCGCCCTCGAGGCCTGGAGTCCCAGGGAGCCAACGCATTGAGAAACTCCAGGCGGAGGTCTGTCACAGACTTCGGCCCCCTAGGGGCCCTCGCCGGGCCTCGGGGCCGTCCAAGAACGACTCGGGATGAAAGACTGGTCCGGGGGAGAATGGATCGAGACTTGCGGGGACCGCGCGTGGAAAAAGTCACGACATCGGATCTCTGGGACCCCGGGAGCGATCGTCCCGCGGTCGCACGGAGACGTTCTGCGCGGGGCATCCGCGAAGCGAGGCCCCGTGTCCGCGGGGTCGCGGCCCCGGGGCCCGGCCCGCGAGGCCAGGGCTGCGGATATGTGTTTCGCCCGCGAGTTGCTCATCTCTCCGTGTGGAGGGGAAGGCCGAGGGTCAAGCAGTGGCGAAGCGTCCCGGCTCGCCTATAGCCCCACCAAACGATGTGCTAAGAACCTTTTGTGGTTCCCACGACATGTTCTTAGAACATTTATGGCTGGGATTTTGTTTCAAAAAAAAACAAGTGTTTTTTTACAAAAAAACACACACATCGGGTTTATGTTCTAAGAACATTGCTTTTGTTCTTAGAACATTTTGGGGTTCTAAGAAAATGGTGGTATGACTATAGGAATGCCGGGACGGTCGGTCCCTGCTCAGAGGGAGAGTGCGAGGATGACCCCGATCTCCGACGATATGCTTTCTCCATCCGGTCCTTTGTCCTCGATTTCGGCCTCCAGGGCAAGCCGTATGGCAATCGTCTGGCTATAGCTTTCCCATACCCTGGATTAGAGCCTGGAGTTGCTCTTTTTGGGGGGTGGGGGATTGTGTTGTTTTTTCGTACTGGTTCAAGGTTTCCCATCATTTGCAGGCCGCCGGATGGATTTTGGGGTAAAAGCCGGCCCCGCGGAAGGGCTTCGCACTGCACGAATCATACCAGAGTGTGTCTGGGGCAGCGCCCTGCGAGGAAGCGCAAGGCGTTGTTCTTGACCGAGTCTCAAGCGAAATGGAGACTACGGTACGCGTTTCGCCCCCTTCGGGGCTCTTCGAGCCGAACATGGCGTACGGTGCAGCATCGACCGAGCAACGCCGACGATGGGACTGGAGGCGGAGCGGAGAGATGCAGTGTGCAGTGGGGGCTTCAGCGAAAGCCCCGGCTCCCGCCCACCCTGCCGGCCTAACGAGGCCAATTGTATTCGTGAGGTAGACGAAAAAGAGTCCTCTGCCCTCCCATCGCCAGTCTGGGCCGCGCACTGCACGGGTCACATCGGAGCATGTCTGGGGCCGCGCCCTGCGAGGAAGCGCCACGCGCAGACGGGCAGCGGGTGCCGCTTCCGTGCGACCTCGGCGCCCTGCGTCGCCATTACCAGCCTGAAGCATATCCCTAGCCCTATGTCTTGCATCACCTTACCTCGGTGCTGATCTCAAGGATTCCCTCCGTTTCTGAGGGCACATCCCTAGCATTGCCATAGCCTTGGGCTTGCCGATCTCAGGGATAGGGAGGCTGGTTGCGGCAGATCGGGCGCGGGGCTGGCCTCGCGTTCCGCGGGGCGCGCTCTCCCCGATTCGTGTGGATCGGGCGCCCCCTCACACCAGAGCCACGGCTACGCGCTTCCTGTTGTTCGCGTGCGCTCGAGCTCTGCGCAGCGCGGAGCGCGACGTTGGGCGACAGGGGCTCGCTCGAGGCAAGGACAGGGGAACGAACAATGACATAAACATAAAAAACTCGGAGGCCCGCGCGGATTTCTCGGATCTGCGCTGGACCCCCCTCCCTGGCGCGCGGAGCGCGCAAGGGGCGGCGCCGGAGGCGCCGCCAGGGGGTCCAGCGCCGATCCGAGAAGTCCGCGCGGATTTTCGAGTGTTTTTTATGTTTATGTCATTGTTCGTTCCTCGAAAGGAGAGGAATCCCAACCTTGAGTGCCAAAGGTGGGGGAGGGGGCGGAAGGGCGGCGGTTCGTCTTGCCCCGACGGTGTTTGAGGAACAGGCGCCCGCGCAGGTCCCGCCACGTTCACCAGAGATGGGGGCCCCTTGAGTGGTAGGACATGGGTCGGGGTGTCTCTCCTGGTTCCCAGCTCTCGGAAGGCGGATCCGAGTTGCAGGTCATAGGCCTCTCGGATGCCAGTGTGGGTCTCTTGGGAGTCCTCTTGGCAGTCTTTTGGAGGCGGTGTCGCGGTGTTTGGGGGCCTTTCGGGGGCCTCTTCGGGGCCTTGTGGTGCCTGGGGGGCATCTTGGAGGCCTGCTGGCTGTCTCTGGTGTCGTCTCGGCGGAGGGCTCGAAATGTCGGTTTGAATTTCCCAAGATTGTACCCTGTTAGGGGCTCTCAGGGGCTATCTTGGGCAGGAGCTGAAGAGTAGGATGATGTTGCTGCTGCTAATGATGCTGCTGCTGCTGATGATGATGATGCAGATGATGATGATGATGACGATGATAATGCTGATGATGATGATGATGATGACGACGATGACGATGACGATGCCGATGACGATGACGATGATGATGATGATGATGATGATGATGATGATGATGATGATGATGATGATGGTGGTAGTGACAAGGCGGTGGTAGTGATGGTGGTGGCGGTGGTCGTGATGATGATGAGGATGATGATGATGCTGATGCTGAGGATGATGATGCTGATGCTGCTTCTGATGATGATGCTGCTGATGATGCGGAGGAGGACACGGCTGATGATGATAGTAGTAATCGTGATATGGATGATCATGACGATATTGATGAGGATGATGATGATGGTGATGAAGATGGTGATGAAGATGGTGATTGTGACGATGATGCAGAAGCTGATGATTACGATGTTGGCGATGATGATGAGGATGCTGCTGATGATGATGGTGGTGGTACTGCTTATGCCGATGATTCTGATCATGATGCCGATGCTGACATAGATGCTGTTGTTGACGCTGACGCTGGCGATGCCTATGACGACGATGTTGCTGATGATGCTGACGATGCCGGTGAGGGTGAGTGCGAGGGTGAGGGTGAGGGTGATTGCTACGATTATGGTGATTCTAATGGCCATGATGGTAATGATGGTGGCAATGACGATGATGGCGATGATGATGGTGATGATGATAGCGATGACAAGGATGATGATGATGATGAGGATGAGGATGAGGACGAGGATGATAATGATCATGTTGATGCTTATTATGATGCTTGTAATGGTGATGAGAAGGAAGGGTGAGGATGATGATGATGATGTTGATGATGATGAGGATGATGATTGAGATGACGATGATGATGATTATGATGCTGCTGATGATGCTGATCACGATGATACTGATGACGATGATGATGATGAGGATGATGTTGATGACGAGGATGCTGATGATGAGGAGGGCCTTGATGAGGATGAGGATGAGGATGAGGATGATGAGGATGAGGATGAGGATGAGGATGAGGATGAGGATGATGATGCTGCTGATGATGATGAGGATGAGGATGAGGATGAGGATGATGATTAAGGTGATGATGATGATGATGATGATGATGATGATGATGATGATGATGATGATGATGATGATGCTGAGGATGATGATGATGATGATGATGATGATGATGATGATGATGATGATGAAGATGGCACGTGTAATTATTATTATGCTGCTGATGATGCTGAGATGAGGGTGAGGATGAGGATGAGGATGCTGATGATGCTGAGGAGGAGGAGGACGGCGGTGATGGTGGTGATGATGCTGCTGTTGCGGTGGATGAAGATAATGATGATGCTGCTAATGATGTTAAGTGGGAGGATGATGATGATGATGATGATGATGATGATGATGATGATGATGATGATGATGATGATGATGATGATGATGATGATGATGATGATGATGATGATGATGTTGATGATGATGAGGAGGAGGAGGAGGAGGAGGAGGAGGAGGAGGGTGGCGCTCCCCGAGCTCTCACCCCGCGCGCGCGCTTCCAGCCGACAGGACCGCGCCAGCCAGCGGCGGGTTGGCGCCGGCGTTGACCCTCCAGGTGACCGCCGTCCTGGAAGGGCCCGCTGCGGGGGGAGAGCGCCGTTGTCACCGTAGTTGGGCTACGCGTAAGAGTGATCTTTCGCCGGAGTGACCTTCGGTGCAGGCCCACAGGGGTGGACCCAGCGCTGGCCAGCGCGCTTGGATTTGGGCCCTCCGCGGTCACCTAAAGCCGAGAGCCAAAGGCCACTCTTGCCTAGGGTCACTCTTGCGTGTAGTGTGCTGGTGGTCTCCGTCGTTGATCACTGGAGGTTCAAGGTTCGAGGTTCGATCAGGCCAAGGAGAAACAGCTCTGTGGGCATAAACTTTTGGAGCTCCGCGCAGATTTTGTGGGTCGGCGCCCGAACCCCCTTCGCGGCGCCTCCGGCGCCAGCCCTGGCGCGCTCCGACCGCCAGGGAGGGTGGCCAGCGCCGATCCAAGAATTCCGCACTGACTTCCGACAGCTTATGTTTTTACATGCTTTCTTTCGTCCAATCAAGATGGGATAAAGTTTTTCCAAGGTTTCGGTCCCGGGGCCGTCAATAGTCGACTGGGGATGAAGAACCTGCCTGGCACAGACCCTGGGAGGGGCCTGGGGATCGATTTTGAGTTGATTTCGGCCCTCGGCGTCGGAGTCTCGGAGTCGCCTGTGCGGAAAACGCAGCCCCGGCTTGCAGCCTTGTTGGTGCCGCCGCCGCCTCCGCCGTCGTCGCCCTCCTGATCCAGCTCCTCGCCTCGCCGCCCCCCTCGCATCCGGGCGTCGTGGAGGAAACGAAGAGATCGCGGCCTGCGTTTCCGCCGCACGCTGCCGCCGCCGCCCTCAGCAATTGCCGCCACCGCCGCCGCCACCGCCGCCGCCGCCATCGTCGTAAAGGAAAGAGATTGCGGCGTGCTCCGTGAAAGAAAGACGTCGCGGCGAGTGCCAATTTCGCCGCCGCGGCCCTTGCCGCCCGCCGTCGCCGTCGCCGTCACCGTTGCCGTCGCCGTCGCCGTCGCCTTTGCCGTCGCCTTTGCCGCCGCCGCCGCCGCCGCTGCCGCCGCCGCCGCCGCCGCCGCCGTCGTCGTCGTCGTCGTCGTCGTCGTTGTCGTCGTCGTCGTCGTCGTCGTCGTCGTCGTGGCTGCCGTCGTCGTTCCCCCAGAACTTGTCATTAGATCCAGACGTGTTTCCTCGATCTCGGGCTTCGGGCGGGCCGCTGCCAGGCCCTTTCCTGGGGCCGCCGACGAGGTCAACCCCGCACAGGCAGAGAACTGCCCCCAAGGGACGGGGCTGGCGAGCCGCGCGAGAGCACGGAGCGACACGTTCACGGTGCTGCACCGCCTCCGACCGCTCTGCCCGTCCCCGCCGCCGCCGTGACGCCGCCGCCGTGACGCCGCTGACGCCGACGCCGCCGCCGCCGCCGTGACGCTGCCGCCGCCGCCGCCGTGATGCCGCCGCCGCCGCCGACGACGACGACGAAGACGGCGGCGTCGGCGGCGGCGGCGGCGGCCACGACCTGCGGGCGGCGGCGCGACCACGGCGAGGCCGCCCGCCAGGACTGGACTGCCGCCGAGGCCGCTGGCGGGGACGTCGCCTCCCTGCTGTCTGGCGGCTTTGCGGGGGCCCTCGGGCCCGCGCTGCAGATCCCGGGCGCCCCCCTCCGCGCGGCCGCCGCCCGCCGGCCGCCTCGCCGGCCCTCTGGCTCGGAGGCACCGATCGGGGCGAATAGCCCAGGGGGGAGCAATACACTCTAGGCGATGCTTCAGAAAACTTGAGATTTCGTCCAGAGTCTCGATGGTTCTTACTGTTTCAATGTAAATCCCAAGATTTGAATAGAAATGTTGGGTTTTTTATTCGAGATCTGAGATTCTGAATTTCTTAACCCATGATTTCTTAAGCATTTCGCAGGGTGTACATGTATCCAGGGGCGATGACAACCCATGTGTCCGACGAGGCTCTGGGGCGAATGCGTGTAATGCCCGCCCCTGGGCTATTCGCCCCTATCGTCGCCGCCTGCTCTGGCGGGCCTCGGGCGGCCCTCGGCGGGCTTCGGTGACGACACCGCCAGCTCCGCAGCAGCCGCCGCCGTCGAGGGTAGGGGAGGGCGGCGAGGTTCGGGGTTCGAGGTGCGAGGATCGAGGGCGTCCGAGGACCGCGGTGCGAGGCACGGTGGTGTGCGAGGAATGGAGGATCGGGGCGAGGTTCGAGGTGCGAGGGCCACGGTTGGATCCGCCTCGAATCTGTGGTCAGAAGGCGCTGGATGTGCCTCGAAACTCTGGTCAGAGCGCGCGCCTTGTCCCGTCATCGTTCTTCGCCCTCGTCCCCTTCCTCGTCGTCGCCGTCGTCCTCGTGCGAGCTGTCCTGCCTCCTCTTCCCCGCTCTCGTCCTCGACACGGTCCCCGTCCTGCCTCTGCTCTACCGGGCGGCCGATCGCGGGCGTCGCCCCCGCCCTCCCCTCGTGAGAGAGGCGAGGAGGCGAATCGAACATTTACAGGTTGCCGAATTCGATCAGCTTCCACCCCTCTTCCGCATCGTATCACACGACGGCGCCGACGCCGCCGCCGCCGTGACGCCGCCGCCGTGACGCCGCCGCCGCCGCCGCCGTGACGCCGCCGCCGCCGCCGCCGTGATGCCGCCGCCGCCGCCGCCGCCGACGACGACGACGACGACGACGGCGGCGGCGGCGGCGGCGGCGGCGGCGGCGGCGGCGAAGACGTCGACAGCGACGGCGACGGCGGCGACGGCGGCGGCGGCGGCGAAGGGGGAGACCGCGGCGGACCCTCGCAGGCGCGCCGCTGCCGGACCACCCGGGCCTGGTCGTCGGGGACCCCTCCGCGTTCTCCGGCCAGGAGCGTTCTCCGGCCTCGGCGCCGCTGCTCCGTCGGGCGGGGCGGCGGCGGCGTGCGCGCGCGCGGGCGAGCGCGGCCCGGCCTCGCGAGCGCGGCGCAGACCCGCTCGGTGCTGCAGCGCCGCGGGCGGCGAGCGCGTGGGCGCCGGCGTTCTGGGGGGCGCGCTGTGGCTGCGCCCGCCCTGCTCGCGCGTCCCCGCCGGGCCCCCAGCTCCCCTCTCCCTCCGTCCCTCCTCCGTCCTCCCCTCTCTCTCTCTATCCCCCTCCTCCATCTCTTCCCTCTCTCTCTCTCGTTCCCCTCCCTGCGCCCTTTCTCTACCCTCCTCCTCACTCCCTTCCTCCCTCCCTCTTCCCTCTGCTTCCCTCTTCTCCCTCCCGCGTCCTCTCCTCATCGTGCACTCTCTCTCTCTCTCATTTTTTTTTTTTTTTTTTTTTTTTTTTTTTTCTCTCTCTCTCTCTCTCTCTCTCTCTCCTCCCCCCTCATCACCAACCTCTCGAAACTGACGCCAAGATCTATGCTGGAGTGCTGGAGCGCGAACTGCCAGGATCTCGGTGCGGATCCAGCCATGGCTTTGAGTCGAGCCCCCCGAAAGCCCAAAAGAGGAGAACGAGGAGGAGGGGGAGGAGGAGGAGGAGGAGGAGGAGGAGGAGGAGGAGTAGAAGGAGGAGGAGGAGGAGGAGGAGGAGGAGGAGAGAGGAGGAATAGGTCCCCGGAGGTCTACAGAGTCCCCCTAAGGCAAACAGATACACAAAGTTTCGGCCGTCGATTCTCGCCCTTTTTCTTCACTTCTCCCTTGCCCTCTTGCGCGTTTCTGCTCCCTGCCTCAGTCCTCCTTCTTCCTCCCTCCCCCATCCGCCGATTCCTCCGATTCCTTCTCTCCCTTCCCCTCCTTTCTCCTCCTCCCTCCTTCCCTCTTTTCCTCCTCCTCCTCCCGCTCCTCCTCCTCCTCCTCCTCCTCCTGCTCCTCCTCCTCAACCTACTCTCTCTCTCTCTCTCTCTCTCTCTCTCTCTTCAAAATCGCATATGCACCCTCATCCAAAGCGTGAGGTAGGTACACCGCTCCATGTGCCACCCACCTAGCCTCGTGAAATATCCTGGCGAGGGATTGTATGTTTTTTCTTTTTTTGCAAATCCGTGTTTGAGTGCGACATGTTGGGGCTCAAGGTGCGCGTATCATATAGTATCCTCGTTCCTCTCCCGTGCCATTCTTGCAGGCAGCGCACAGCGCGCAGTGCGAGGCAGCAGCAGCAGCAGCAGCAGCAGCAGCAGCAGCAGCGGTCGAGAGAGTTTATCACGGCCCATGGCAACGCACCCCGGTTTCCACATGTTGGCGCTCATGCGCTCACCTCTCCTCCCTCATGGAAGGGGTGGGCATGTCAATATCCACCAGGGGAGCAATAGTTCATGACAGTGATACGTTCCACCCAGGGTTTCCAAGATTCCCAGAGGAGACCCGAAACTGTTCTCACGGTTCTGCGCTGGCTCTTGAGAAACGAGGGCTGCTAGATACTCCATATTCTCTGGCCGCATCTTACACCGATGTTAAGTTGGGCCTGTCCCTCTACAGGAGGAATATCCGAAAACATAGTAAACGAAATAGTCTGGGGACGTTTTTTCGACTATGTTTGCCTATAGTTTGATTCTGTGTTCCGTATTGTTACTTTTTCGTTCAAAATCCGCCTGTAGGAGGACATGTCCGACCTACATCTACGTCCTCGCGGTCCTCCTCGGCCGCGACCCCACGAGACACGAGGAGGCCTCGCTGCTTCTGGCCCACCGCGCGGGACGTGCAGCCGGGCACGCTCTGGCTCGGTTCGGCGCCTCGCTGCTTCTGGCCCACCGCGCCTTCGCGCGGCGCGCGGATTCTTCCCCGGGGCCAGGCGTCCCGAGCCTCTCCTGGCCTCCCGCCGCGCGGAACGGCGCGGCGCGCTGTCCGCTTGCAGGGCATATCGCGCCCACGGGGCCGCCGCCGCGACGCTACGTCCAGCAGAGGCCCCCGACCGCATCTGCAGCCACGCCCTCGCGGTCTGGGCGCCGCGACATCCCGCGGAGGCCCGCATCCTCCATGGGATCGCACGTGCACGGGGCTGCCTCCCCCCCCCCCAGACTTTCGACACAGCGTGGACCCCTTTTCGTGAAGTCGGGCATGCCCCTCTACAGGAGGAAGATTATAACATAGTCAAACCATGCTCTGGGGACGATGTTTCGACTACCTGTTGATTCTGTTTGCCTATGTTCGAATTTTTTGATTCTTCAGCCAAAATCCGCCTGTAGGGGGACTTGCCCGACCTGACCCTCTTGGGTGGTGGCGGCCTCGCGCGCGGCGACGAGGCGGAGAAGGTGAGCAGGCAGTGCACGCGGCGGCCAGGCCCCCAGCATCGCCAAGGATGCGGCCTTACCGGCAAATCGGCCATCCGGGCGTGGTGGATTGCGAGGAGGGTGCACGCAATACCGTGCGCTATGCCTTCACGGCAGCATGAGGCGACAGCGTGGACCCCCCGGAGGTCTCGACCCATTCATCGGGACGTGCTTCTCATCCCGAGTAGGTTTCTGAATGTCCTGGGGCCCGTGGAGGGCCCCCCGAGGCCGAAAGCGGCCAAACATTTTCCGTCGCGAGCGTGTCTGGGGACCGCGAGGGCATGGGCATGGATATGTTCGCCGCCTGTGCTCTCTGGGCATGCACATGGACGGACGGCGTCTGAGTGATGGCATTGGCGCGCGTGCGAGGTTGTCTGTGTGTGTGTCTGTGTGTGTGTGTGTGTGCGAGTGTGTGTGCGCGTGTGTGTGTGTGTGTGTGTGCCCCACAGTGCTTCGTCGCCAGCGCGGTCACTTTGCCTAGTCGCCGACGCAAAGTGTGTGTGTGTGTGTGGTCGTTGTGTTGCGGCGTGTTGCCTGCGAGTTTTGCATGACATCCTCATCCTCCCGTGCCATGTGCAGGACCGGCCCTGTAGCCGTGCGGGATCTGTCCGTCTGTTTGTCCGTGCCTTCCTGGAGTCTTCCGCCTCTGAGTGCTCGCACTCCTCTCCCCCCCGCGGCCGCTCCGCCCTTCCTTTTCCCTCCCCCTGCATGCCGGCCAGTTCGCTATGAAATGCCCCTGCATCGCTGCCACGCTGGAGCGGAGCGGATCGTCCCGCCTACCCGCCGACGGAGACAGTCCGTGCCCCCCCCCCCCCAGCGAGGAGTCCTGGGTGTCCGGCCCGTGGGGGCCCTGCAGCGAGACCTGCGGCGCGGGCCAGGCCTCGCGCACGGTGGAGTGCTCCGCCGGGCAGGACCGCCCCCCGCCGCCGCCGCCGCCGCCGCCGTCGTCGTCGCTCCCGCGGGCGTCGTCGTCGATCGGAGGGGCTCGACGTGTACGCGGACATGCTCGCGTCGTGAAGCAGCACGACGGCGGGGTTTTGGCCGTGTTCGGCCTCTGGGGGCCCTCGCCGGGCCCTGGGGCCGTCAAAAGCGACTCGGGATGAAAATTCGACCCCAGGGACGAGGCTCGGGACTTCCGGGGACACCGTATTTAAAACATCAAGACGTCGGATGTCTGTGTACACCACGTCGTTTGGTCGGCCAGGGAACCACGCCAGCGTCCCCCAGGCGTCTATGCGTCGAGTTCTTTGAGGCCGACCGAACGACGTGGTGTACACTTCGAGCCCCTCCCAGTCGATGGATCGATCGAGGTTCGAGGCTCGAGGGTGCTCTTCAACAGTTGTTTTGTCCCAGGCCCGCTTCGGGTCCCTGGGCCAGCAGTGGTGCGTCCATGATGCACGACTACCCTGGGATCGACCCTGGGGGGTGGTCCATGGTGTCTGGTGACTGATTGTGAGTGCGGCGCCTCGTCGTCGTCGTCGTCGTCGTCGTCGTCGTCGTCGTCGTCGTCGTCGTCGTCGTCGGTGTCCGAGTTCTCGATGGAGGCCGCCTGTCAGCCTGCCGATCTCTTCCGACTGGTCGGGCGAAGAGAACCATGCACATGCACCGATCCCGACAACGCCCATCCTTGACCCAGGATCGGTGCAGATACCTTCCTGGCCAAGGTAAGAGGGCGTATGCGCCGATCCTGGGCTCAGGGTTGGGCCTGGTCAGAATTGGTGCATGTGCATCGTTCTTTTTCCTCTAACTCGGCCTGACTTGACTCGGCTGCCGACCTCCGGCGATCCGGTCCCTTTCGGCCGCCGCTCCGGCTTTTCTCGACTCGACTCTGGACTCTCCGGCCTCCTGGTCGGGCCCACAGTCCCCCCCCCAGAGCCTTGGCTTAAGTCGGGCCTGTCCCACTACAGGAGGAAGATTCAAAAATAGGTTCAAACATAGTCTGGGGGCTATGTTTTACTATTTTTGAACATTTTGGGAGTTTTGTTGGGGGGATATCTTTAATTTTTCGCCCCAAATCCCCCTATAGGGGGACAGGCCCGACTTATGCCTTGGCCCTCGTGCTTGGCTGCGGCCTGCCAGGCGGCTCCCTGGGGCGCCGAGCACCAGAGAGCCCCTCTCCTGGCTGCAGGGGGGGCCCACGCCAGGCAAAACGCCCTGCGGGCCTCCGGGGTGGCCGGGGTGGCTTGGGTTTCGAGGGTTCTCTTGGCATCGCGCGGACGTGTGTATTTTTCCTCGGCGAGAGCCATCGAGGACCATCCTGGACCATCGAGCAAAAAACACACGCACGAAACCGACAAATGCACGGTCGCTTTGACGAGCCAACAGCACACACCCATACCCATAGGGGGGGTCGGAGAGGGCTATGGGTGCGTGTCGTCGGATGGGGGTCCCCGCTCGAACGGGAGCGTTCCCCAGGGTCCGACAACCCGCGCCCATACCCATAGCCAGTCCTCCTCTCAACGACCCCCCGATGGGTATGGGTGTGTGTCGCTCGTTCGTCAGGCTTGGGTTTCGATGGTTCTGCCATGGCGTCCTGGGGCCCTGGGTTCTCGGAGTTGGGTCTCTTGCGGAAGGCTTCTTTGTTTGTCGAGCCCCTACTGTAGGGTCACTCTCGCGTGCAGCCGAGGTCGTCCCGTGCGCCCGCTGGCTCGGGTCGAAACGGCGACGCGTGTGCATAAGGTTTTGAACACAGGAACAAGAAGTGACACAAACAGAAAGACTCGGAGGGTCCGCGCGGATTTCTCGGATCGCCGCTGGGCCCATCTCCCTGGCGCGGAGCGCGCCAGGGGCGGCGCCGCAGGCGCCGCGCGGGGGGCGCCAGCGCCGATCCCAGAAATCTGCGCGGAGCTCCGAGTTCTTCTGTTTATGCCGTTTTTGTGCCCCTGGTGTTGCTTTCGGGCATGTCCCTCTGCAGGAGGAGTGGTCAAATATAGTCACAGGATAGTTAGTCTGAGGACAATCTTGGGGCGATCGTTCCCACATTTTCGGGACAACTTTTGGCCTGTTTTAAATTTTTGTTCCCCGAACCCCGCCTGTGACTCGTAGAGCTTCCCTAAGAGCGAAGCGGCGAAGCTAGAGAGTAATTCCGGCGCGCTGGGGGGCTAGTTGGCCCGACAAATCTCGACAGATGTTTTGTCTTTTTTTGACCTATTTGAATGAATTGTTCGAAATCTGAACATTCGTTAGAGCTCTTATATTTCCCCCCCCCATACAGTCGGGGCCCTGAAGAAGGAACCCTTTTCATTGGGGAGGGGCTCCGTGTCCCTTGATTGTTTCGCAGCTTGCCTTAGGTTTTCCTTAGGTTTCCGATGGGACATCGAACTTTAACTGATGGGAAAAAGGGGCCTCGTTCCTTATTTAGGGTTCCTTAGGTCAACGCCCCGACTGTATTCGATCCCCGAACCCCGCCTGTCGGGGGACGTGCCCGACCCAAGCCTCGTGGCCGTCGGGCCGAGAGGCGGCGCGTCGGCGCGTCGGCGAGGCGGCCCCGGAGGCCGCGCGCCCGTCTCCGCGTGCTGTTGGCCGGGGGTGGGGGAGGGGCAGGAGGAGGAGGGAGGAGGAGGAGGAGGAGGAGGAGGAGGCGGAGGAGGAGGAGGAGGAGAGGAGGGAAGGGGAGGAGGAGAGGAGGGAGGAGGAGGGGGGAGGAGGAGGAGCAGGAGGAGGAGGAGCAGGAGGAGGAGGAGGAGGAGGATTCTACGGGATTCTACGGGCCAAAACGGATCGCGACGGCCTATGCTTTCGCGCCGTGGGAGTTTCGGGCCGCTTCGGGCCGACCCCGAGCCGAGCCAAAACCTCCAGGGAGCCCCTATAGGGGCTGGTTGGTGGTGGGGTGTAACCCATTCCACAGTCGATTCAGCCTACCCCCGTTCACCCTTTGGGCCCCAGGGCGACATGGGGCGAAAAGGCCCGTCCACTTCTCTCCAGTGGCGTACCTGGCACACCTGCGGCAGAAAATGTGGGACTGGCGGTTCACAAGTTTGTCCCGCCTGCTGTGCTCTATCGACCCTGACCCCCCCCAGTCCAGAATGGCCTGAGACGGGGGAGTGGCAGCCAGGGGCGGGGCAGGGGGATCGGGGGCCTCCAGGCCCCCCCCCCGTTCGCCCACGACCGCCCCTGGGTCCCTGGGAGGTTCCAGGGGGTCCGAAGGGGGGTCGGGGGGGTTCGAATCCGTCGGACTCGATCCCAGCTCAGTGTCGCTAGTATATCTGCCTAGGACTCCTATACAAGCTCCGAATTCCAGGATATCACGAACTAGCTGATATTTCCGCACGTATGTTTCACGGCACCATGCGGGGTGGGTATGATACACGGCCCCCTGCTTAGCATATCTGTCGGCTATCTAGTTTCCTTCTCACCTCGCTCGCCCGATCGCATCGCGCTCTGCTCGCGACGCTTGGGCTTTCACTTTGCACACCAGGATGGTGTACTGGCTCAGGCCGCCCTGCTCGGCGATGGCCTGGAAGATCCGCTCCCAGATGTCCAGGTGCGGGCGGCTCCTCTTGTTGAGCCACGTCGGTCCAGCCTGCACTCCGTCCACGACGTTCTGGCAGTCTGTGTGAATTCTCATTGGCGGCACGCCCACCGTCAGCGCCTGCAGCACCGCGTAGAGCTCCGCCTTCAGGATACTCTGTGTCCACTGCGCGCCTGGGAGCGGCCCGTAGCACACATAGTCCATCTCGTGCTCGTCGTTGTCTTTGAGCTTGGTGAAGCTCCATCCTCCTCGTCGCAGCGCAGGGTAGTCGCCGTACTGCAACGAGCCGTCTACGTAGATGTCACCCGTCGCCAGGCCGTTCCAGTTGCCCTCGGTGAGCCAGTCGTCGCACGACTCCAGGTCCCAGAACCGGAGCTCGACGGCGGGGTCCGCCATGATGCCTCGTCCCCATAGTACTTCGGCTCCTGGGCCTGGCCATGGGTTGGCACCTCGCTGCTGTATGTGTAGGCCTCCGATCACGCTGCGGTCCTGCTGGCGCGCGGGGCACGCGAACGTTCGATGTCGGTCGGTGCCAGGGCCCAGCCTGCACGCTCTGCATGTGCTGTCGGGTGCCACTCCCTTAGCATGCAGCCGCTCCTGCGGCCATGTGCCCCCGCAAAAGAGGCCTCGGACTCGCGTGCGATGTGCCCGCGTCCATCGCCCCTTGAGGGGCCTTCGTAGTAATGCTTGAGCTGGCTCGACGAAGATGGAGGTGATGCCGTACTGGTGGCCGAACTGCTCCACCCACTCGTCCTTCAGCTGCTGCTCCGTGGTGCGGATGACATGGTGCTGGATCTCCTGCAGCCTGGTGAAGCGCAGGTCGAACACCGTGCCGTCGATCGTGGCTGAGTGCGCGGCCTGTGTCATCCAGCCGAGTCGCTTCACCGTCGCCGCGAAAGTTCCCGCTGGTCCCCGAACTGTGAGCCAGGGGGCCTTGCACTTGTAGATCTTCATCACCCAGGTGCGCCATGCGCTGTGGAGCCGCTCGGCCAGCTCCGCGTCGTCGAGCGCCTCCTGCCACGCCGTCGCCCAGGCAATGGTGGGGCCGCCGTTGACCAGGTTGTCTGGGTTGATCCTGTCGCTGAGGAGTGTGAGGGCAGTGGACCTGCCCTGTGTGTTGCCCCCCATCGCCGTCGCCACGTTCCTTCTCAACTCCATGAGCTTGGAGTCCGCCATGCCGACGATGGTTGAGCCGTAGAGGAGCGCTGGCACTTTGGCTTGCCTGATCAGCTTCTGCGCCGCCCCTCCTGCTCTCCGCACGGCTGCCACCCCGCCCGTGCCTTCCTAGCTGCAAACTTGAGCGCCCGCTTGTTGATCATTGCCACTCTCTTTCGTCTGCATGCTGAGGGTGACCGCCTTCCCCTCCGCGCCTCTCGAGACTTTCATGTCTAGCTTCACCTCGAACCTGTGTGCCACGGCCGCCACGAGCAGCGGGTGGAAGTGGTGGGCGAACTCGCTGATGCCGTGCGTGGCCATGGCGAGGTCGTCGAAGAACAGGCACGTACCCGCCCACGGGAACTGGTACACGAGCTCGTCCAACTCCAGGATGATCACCATCTTGAGGCAAAAGGGCGCATACCTGCCGCCCGCGACGATGCCGCGCTGCCACGCCTTGCCCTCGGTGTAGCACCCGTCCAGGACGATGCGCCTCACCATGCCGTATATCTTGAGTACGGTGCGCATGATGACTGGGTTGAAACCCCAGCGCTGTGACGCCTCCCATACCTTGCGATGTGTAACCCACTCGAAGCACTTGACTAGGTCGAAGTAGGTCACTGCATACTCATGCCCCTCGGCGCGCGCGGCCTCCCCGTAGAGGGCCTGCAGCCACGCCGCTCGCTCCGATGATCTCCCGCGCCGAGCCCAGTCGTAGGCTCTCTGGTTGGCTGCCTCCCAGCGCCTGGCGTACGGCATGCGGATGGTCTCCAGCACGCGCGCCAGCTCGGGAATGGAGCCCAGGTTGCGGAAGCCTCCTGCTGCCTTCGGTGTCAGGTAGAAGAGGATAGTGGCCTGCGTAGTGGGCCACGGCGCTCGTCGCCCCACCGCACCTAGCACGCTTGCTACGCGTGCCGCTCTCTGGAGCCCGCCATGGCGCCAGAGGCGCGGGTGCCAGTCTGCTTCTCCAAGGCCAGTCTTGGGGCGGAAGCGCCCGCGCGCCTCGATGACGTCCCTCGGTGTGATTCGTGGGGCTGCATGCTCTCTCCATTCGTCGTCGCTGGGGGGCTGGCACCGCGGTTCGCGGGTGTCATAGCTGTCCGCCCATGCCGTCTCCCAGCCCTCCCACGCTGCGTCTGCTGCGACCTGCGGATGCGTGAGCTCCTGCTGGCTGTAGTTCTCGGTCGGCTTGTTCGGCCCCCGCGGCGCTGGCGGCTTGGTCCACTGGTGTAGCGCACCTGCTCCCGCCTGGCTGTGCTTGGCCACCCATCGCCTCCAACCTCTTGCTGCTTTGCGTCGCACTCGCCTCCGCGTGCGCTGGCTGGCGACCGTCGTGGGCTTGGCCACGCACCCCACGTAGTGCAAGCCCCGCTCGGTGATGTTCGTCGTGTCGATCCAGGCGATGGTGTTCACCACCTTGCCCCAATCGGTGTCCCTCCAGTGCCCCCGCCCCGTCGGTCGGCGGCGCTCTCCTGCCGCTTCCGCCCCGACCAGCGGCCAGTCCTGCCCGGCCCCAGGGCCGAGGACAGTGGGATGCCGAGGAGTGAACCCTGGGAGGCTCAGCTCGTCCCCCTCGACTCGGCGTGCTGCTTCGTTGATCTCCTCCAGGTCGTCGGCGTTCTCCTCGGTGCCGACGCTGTCGTTCTCGCCCTCCGTGTCGGTGCCGACGTGGCCGTCGACTTTGCCCACGTTGACGTGCCCCTCCGCGGCGCCCTCCTGGTCGGCATCGCCGCTCCAGGCTGGATGGCGCCGCTCGGGGAGCGGCTCGATGATGTCCTTCTCGAGGATGCCCTTGGCGTTGCACTGCGCCCAGCACAGCGTCTCCTGCTTGCCGTTGCGCCACCGCGCTCGCACCGTGGTGCAGAGGAGCTCGAGTCTGCGCCCTAGCCATTCTGCTGCTTCAGCCCAATGCTGCTCTCGCGCTGCCTCGCGCACCGTGGGTGGCTTGAGCTGCTCCCAGGCGTAGGTGGGTGTCTGCATGTGCCCTTTGCGCTCATACCATTCCAGGCCGTCGTAATTGAAGTTCTTGTTGAGGTGCTCCTCGTACGTGTTGGCCAGGTTGCTCCAGTAGCTGTCCACCTCCTCCCGGCTGTGCCTCTCGCGCTCCAGGAGACGTGGCCACGCCGTCGGCCCTGCTGCACATCCCGTGGGCAGCTGAAGAGGCCAACGTCGTCGATGCTGCAATGCCCGTGCCCACCGACGTGGTTCCCGTATGAGCGGTATACGTAGTAGCTCAGGGGAGTGCGGCGCTGTGTTGAACTGGTCCTGCACGGCCACCTGCAGCGGGCCGTCCAGGGGCGTCTTCGAGATGATGAAGTAGTCGCGGTGCCTCGCCTCGCCCGATGAGACGCACGACCCGCGGGAAGTGTCGAACACGGTGATCCCTTCCATCCCGTTGATCACTCCTGTCTGCTGCAGCTCGGCTGGGTCCATGTTGAAGTCGCCGCCCAGGATCCAGTGCTTCCCCGCCGCCATCGCGGCCGTGTTGAAGCTCCTCAGGATGGCCCTGCTGCGGTTCGTCATGCCCTCGCTGACCCATAGGCAGGCCGTGCCGATGGTGATGCCCTGCTTGCCGAGTGCGTCGGCCCAGCCGATCGCGAGGCGGCCCTTGGACTCGCGGGGCGAGATGTCCCACGTGTCAAGGCCCCTGGCGTAGCCCATGTTGTTGTGGCGGACTGTCGCCAGGATCGCCCGTGCGCTCCAGCCTCCGCTCGCCGTGTGGACGCTGGGCGCTATGCCCAGCCTCCATCCTTCCTTCTGCATGCGTTGCGTGAACCAGGAGGTGCTGTGCTCGTTTGCCTGCAGCTCCTGCGCCATGATGATGGGGAGCTTGTTGGTGTATCTGATTGAGCGCGTGGTGCGCTCCAGCGTGCCAATGGAGTTCGCGTTGACGGTGATGAACCCCTGCCCGCCGTCCTCGCCAGGAAGACGACGGTGGGGCTGCCCAAGTGCTCTTGCAGATGTTGAGCGTGGTGCCATGCTGCATGCCAGCAAGCAGAGGAATGAGATGAGCCGCGTGGCGCTCGATCTGCTCACCCGTGCAGCCTGCGTCCTGCATGATCTTTGTGACGAGCTTCTCGTCCGCGCCCTGGGGGAAAGACATCAGCTCCTGCGCGACTTATTATTCAGCTGTGCGCTTGGCTCTCTGCTTCTCTTTGGCGGCTTCTCGCATGGTGTCGGTCTCCTTCTTCTTTGCTGCCCCCGCGGCTGCGGCAGCTGCTCGCTCCTCATCGGCGGCTTGCTGCTGCTTGGCGTGGCGGAGGGCCTCGCTGAGCTTGGGGTCGGCTTCCTTGTCGCGCAAGCACTTGCTGGCCTGCTCCAGGAATGAGACCGCTGCACTCCAGCCTTGCCCTGGCTTTGGTACGCTGAGCTCCCCGATGCGAGTGTTCTGCTTCTGTAGCTTCTCTTCTTGTCTGGCCAGGAGAGCCTTGTCTTTGTCCAACTTCTCCTGGGCCTCCAGGATCTCCTGCTCCTGCTTCTCCACTCGCTCCTTGGTGCGATCGCGCTGCCCTTGTGTCTTGTTCCTCTCTCGTACAAGCTTGCACTCTGAGAAGCAACGTGGTACATCGCTGCCGGCTTCGGCAGCTGCCTGCAAGTCTTCGGCCTCCTTCTGTAAGGTCGAGATTATGCCCTGGACGTGGGGTGCCAAGTCTGGGTCCGCTGCTTGTCGCCGAAGGTCAGCCAGGTGTCCCGCTGCTTCTTGAACTTAGCTTTCGTGGCATCGTCGGCATCCGTGTCGTCCTGGGTGTTGGTCGTGCCGTGGTTCGTGGACTTCGCGCAATCGCGCACCTTCCAGCATTTCCAGCAGAAATCGTAGCCGTCCCCGTTCTGAGCTTTGCATCCCGTGCATGCCCAGCCTCCATTGCGCGAAGTGGAGCGTGGGGCCATCAATCGACTCGGGAGCGCAGTGCCACTTTGAAATTGACGCTCCTCACCACCGCCCTGCCTCTCTGCAGGCACA